AATGCTCCCTTTTCTAAAAATCCTAAGGAGCTTATTAATTTATTAAAAACTGTCTAATTCACACACCAACCCACTTGGGATGACTGTCATCAATTATTACAGATCCTGTTTACCACAGAGGAAAGGGAACGTATCCAAACAGAAGCCAGGAAGTTAATTCCTGGCAATACTGGTGTCCCTACTACTGACCCGACACTGATTGATGCTGCCTATCCACTGACCCGGCCTGATTGGGATTATAATACTGCAGAAGGTAAGGGGAGGCTTCTGGTTTACCGCCAGGCTCTGTTGGCAGGTCTCAAAATGGCTGCTCATAGGCCAACTAATTTGGCAAAGGTATATGATATTAGTCAGAAACTAAATGAAAGCCCGTTCTTGGAGTGAATAACAGATGCCTTCTGCAGGTACACTCCATTAGACCCAGAGGCCAAAGATAATATAGTGGCAGTGGCCATGGCTTTTGTTAATCAGTTGGCTCTGGATATAAAGAAAAGCTCCAAAGAGCAGAGAGACTGCATAAAAAGAGCTTAAGGGATTTAATAACTGTGGCCAAGAAAGTGTATAATAATAGGGATAGTGCAGGAAAAAAAAAAAAAAAAAAAAACAGATAAAGGTAGAAAAAAGGCAGAACAAGGACCTGGCAAGGATCCTGCTGGCTGCTACTGCAGATCCAGAGGACCGGCGGAGGCGTCTGAGACAGATAGCATTGGGAAAAGGAGTCTCTTGCAGTATGTGGATGACCTATTTATGGTGGCAGACAGCCAAGAGGCTTACATGGATGGCACAGAACGCCTGTTACAGACGTTGGGATTGCTCAGAATCCTGGGCAATCAGGCCTCTGCTAAAAGGGCCCAACTATGCAAACAACAGGTCCAATACTTGGGCTATATACTTAAAAAAGCACTACTGGTAAAAGATGCTGACAAACTGACTTTGTGCCAGAACTTGACCATCAACACACCACATGCAATTAAAGGAGTTTTAAAGCAGCCCCCGGACAGATGGCTAAGTAACGCCCGTATAACCCATTATCAGGCATTGCTTCTTAATCCTGCTAGAATCACCTTCCAGGTACCAGTTGCCCCGAATCCAGCCACGCTCTTGCTGGACCCAAACTTGGATGCCCCCCCTGCATGATTGTGCCAGAATCCTGGCCCATGTCCAAGGCACCCGATCAGATTTGAGAGATACCCTGTTATCTGATGCTGAAGTAACCTGGTTCACTGTCGGGAGCAGCTTTGTCCAGGATGGCAAGAGGTATGCAGGGGTGTCTGTAGTATCACTAACCGGCATCATTTGGGCAGAACCTCTGCCCACTGGCACTTCGGCCCAAAAGGCTGAATTTATTGCCCTAACTAAGGCGCTGGTATTGAAAAAGGACAAAAAGCTTAATGTGTATACAGACAGCCGATGTGCCTTTGCCACTGCGCACGTTCATGGGGCAATATATCGGGAACAGGGCTTATTAACGACAGAGAAAAAGACTGTCAAAGATTAAGAAGAAATCCTAACATTGCTAAAAGCTCTCTGGCTGCCAAAGAAATTGGCAATTATCCACTGCCCAGGTCATCAAAAAGGGACGATCTGATTTCCCAAGGAAACAATCGAGCGGATCAGGCGGCTAAACAGGCTGCTCTCCAAATTGACTCAATCTGAGTAAGGTTGAAATCCTTACCCATACAGAAAACCAGGCCGGTTCTATGCTTGCCAAGGGCCTGAAACTCCAAAACACAAGTCCCAGAGAAACAGGTGTGGAGAGAATAGCGCTACTTATTGCGCTCCATGGGGCTGTGAAACAACAGGATACATACGGTAGACCCCTCAGGGAGGAGATCTTATTATGGTTTAAACCCTGGTTCAATAGCTCCCCTTGGTTGACCACTTTTGATTTCAACCTTACTCGGACCCTTCCTGATTCTGATTATGCTCTTGACTTTTGGGTCTTGCATTTTAAATAAATTGGTAGCTTTTATAAAAGAGCGGCTTGGACCTATACAGTTAATGGTTGTTGGGAAAAAAATGAAATACCTTGATGAATGCTGTAAGAACTCTGCATTTTGATAGAAAACTCTGTTTAAAATGTTGATTTAGATTTACTTGCTAAGCTTGCCTGTTCTGCCTGATTGTATCTACCACACATGGATGATTAACCTAGTTGAAATGCTAAGAATTGAAGTGCTGTAAACCTCCTTCCTGGACCCTGGACCCCAGACTCAGTTGATTTACAATGAATAAAACCTCCATAGGACTGACCTAGCCCTGGGCCCTGTTCCAAGAAAAAACACAATACTTGAAACAGATAGAGAACAACTCCCCTGCCAACGGTCAATTAACCAGGGACAGGAAAGTACTAAAAGTCCAAATATCTTTTCAGATTTCCTGAAGCCAGAAGTTTATGGTTTGGCGCTGAGCTGCAACCAATCAGATGCTAGCCAGGCTGAAGACCCCCTACTCCCCTACTTGCTGAACTTGCTGAAATAAACCTATAAAAACCTCTGTTTCCCAAAGCAAGGGGTCTCACATCTGAGATCCGCTGAGTCAGTGACAGAGTGGACCCAAGCTTAAGCTTGCAACAATAAAAGAACCCTTGCGTATTTGCATCAGTCGGCTCCTTGGTGGTCTTTGGGGTCTCGCAAACTGGGCACAACACAGTCAATACACGTGTTAAAACTAAAGTCTCCAAACGCAGAAGAAAGAAGCATACACAATAATTTAGGAAGTCAAGTGTGGTGGCGCAAGCCTTTACTCTCAACATTTGAGAGGCAGAGGCAAGTGGATCTCTGTGAGATCAAGGCCAGCCTGGTCTATATAGTGAGTTCCAGGCCAGCTAGGGCTCCAGGGAGACCTTGTCTCAAAAAAACTCAAACAAAATTAAACAAAAAACAACAACAAAAAGAATTACCGAAATTCTTTTCTCACTGAGTTTTCTGAACAGACAAGAGGGGCAGTGTGGCTGTGTAGAAGCAGAGCCTTGGAGATGTAGGTAGCATGTCTGGTATGACATCTCTGGGCTCAACTTCCCCACTTGTAAAATGAGGACACTATTATCTGTCTCATAATTATTGAAATGGCTGCTTATTAGCATAGTCAGTAATCTCCTTTCAGGTTTGTTTATCAATTCATACTTTGCTGAAACAGTTCTGTGAACATACCTGCACTGGATTGAACAGTGACCTCTCAAAATTGGTATCGACGTCCCAGGGAATCCGACAGCCTCTTCTGACCTCCTCGGGCATTGCACCACATGGGTGCACTTACCTACATGCAGACAACACACAAATACACATAAAATTTAAAAAAATAAACTTAAAAAAATTGAGCATATGTGGTGGGGGTGTAAATTAAGGGGAATAAGAGAGGAGCTGTATTCCTACCAAACCTGGACCCACACTGACACAGCAGAGGCCCTGGGGCCTCAGAAGACAGGACTCACCATCTGGTTTCTGCTCTTAGTCCTCTGATGTATTATCTTCATTATTTTGTCTAGAGATTGTCTTTACTACTAGATGAAAACAGGAATACCAACAGCTCCCAAAACTGAGCTGAATTTGTCCTGAAGAGAGATGAACTCCATTCTCTGGGTCTCCAAAGGCAAAAGGCCCAGGGGCAGACTCTGATGGGCCTGAGTTACATGAGCTGTCCTCTTTTAAGCTACCTGATACAGCTCTATGACTGGGCAATTTCCACAGAAAAAGATGGAAGAGATTGGCTTCAGTTGTCAACTTGACACACCTGGGAAGAGGGAATCTCAGCTAAGGAATTTGTGAGGCATTTTCTTGACTGTTTTGAGGTATAGGAGGGCCCAACCCACTGTGGATGGCACCACTGAACAGATGGTCCTAGGGTGAAAGCAGGCTTCACACAGGCCAGAGGAACAAGGCAGTGAGTAGCATTCCTCTGTGGTCTGTGCTTCAGTTCCTGCCTCCGGGTTCCTACCTGACTTCCCTCAAAGATGGACTATCACTTGAAAGTGCAAGATATAGTAAACCCTTTCCTACCAAAGATGGTTTTGGTCAAAGTTTTATCACAGCAATAGAAATCAAACTAATAGTGACAAAGGAACGGCTTTCACTTCCCTTTTTAATAGTTTCACTTTTTAAAGAAATTAGTACATTCTGACAAAATTGATAAAGTCATCAATGAAGGATGGAGAAATAATTAAAAGTGGATGCAAACATGATTTAAAGGATAAGAAGCAATCATAGATAAATCAAACCATCAATAAATATAACATTAATAAAGAAATTTAATGAATAGTCAAGAAAATTATTGGCTTTTATATATGTAACTATAAATCAAAACAATTTTCACAGTTGAATTCAATGAAAAACTGTTTTTCTCTAAAAAATAAAAGAGAATACAAGAAAATGAGTTGGCCAGGCATGGTGGCACACACCTTTAATCCCTTTAGCACTCGGGAGGCAGAGGCAGGCGGGATCTCTGTGAGTTCAAGGCCAGCTTGGTCTACATAGTGAGTTCCAGGCCAGCTGGGACTATAGGGAAACTCTGTCTCAAAAAGACAAAACAAACAAACAAACAAACAAAAAAAAAAAACCAAAGAAAGAAAAAAAAAGAAACTATAAGTTATTTTTAATTTTAAGATTTATTTTAAAGAAATTATTGGGGCTGAAGAACCAGTTCAGTGGTTAAAAGCACTAGCTGCCCCTGCAGAGGATCTGGGTTTGATTCCTACCACCCACATGGTGGCTAACAACCATCTGAAACTCCAGTTCCAGGGGATCTGACATCTTTGTCAGATCTCTGTGGGTACTGTGTGACACGGGTACACTTAAATACATGCAAGCAATACACTCATACACATAAAATAAAAAAATAACAAATTTTAAAATAGTTTTGAAAAAGAAATTCTCATTCTTTAAAGGATATACATTTTATCACCAGTACACATTTTATTCCCTATTGTGGGCAGGGCACTGAAATATCATGGAATTATTTTTCAGAGACAATTAAACTGAATGTACAAGCAAATGATCACTTACCTCAGGACTAGAGTCTCTATCAGCTCGAGTGAATTCAAAAGAATTAATTTTATTGGCACTCATTTCATCAGAGTCAGCAATGACGTAATGTCTAGGGGAATAAGCACCTGACAAGCTTCCAACAAGCCTCAGGATCTCGGTGGTATGGCCACCTAGAAAAAAAAAAATCACAAAGTCTAAGATTAAGAAACCTACAATGGGCTTTTAATCCCAGCACTCCCGAGTCAGAGGCCGACAGATCTTTGTGAGTTTGAGGCCAGCCTGGTCTACATAGCAAGCTCCAGGCCAGCTGGGACTACTGGGAGACTGGGCCTCAAAAAACAAAACAAAACCTAAAACGGGGGCTGGAGAGATGGCTCAGTGATTAAGAGGAATGGATCAAGTTCACAGCACCCACATGGCATCTAACAACCATCAGTAACTCCAGTTCCAAGGAATCCAACACCCTCTTCCAAACTCCACAGGCATTGTACACATGTGATGCACTTACATACATGCACGCAAAACACTCATACACATAAAAATAATTTTTAAAAAATTATTTTTTAATTAAAAAAAATTTACAATGGGGGCTAGAAAGATGGCTCAGCAGCTAAAAGTACATACTGCTCTTGCAGAGGACCCAGGTTTGGTTCACAACACCCACATGCATGAGTCTGTGACTACAGTTGCAGGGGACCCAATGCTTCCATGGGTGGACATGCACATACACCCACAGAGACACAAATGCATATACATAATTAAAAATAATAAAACTTGGGCTGGGCGTGGTGGCACACACCTTTAATCCCAGCACTTGGGAGGCAGAGGCAGACAGATCTCTGTGAGTTCAAGGCCAGCCTGGTCTACATAGTTTCAGGACAGCTGGGGCTACAGGGAAACCCTGTCTCAAAAGGACCAAAAAAGATAAAAATAAAAAAAAATAAAACTTAATGTATTTTTAAAAAAGGATATCTTCTGGGTGTGGTGGTGGTGCATACCTTTAGACCCAGAGGCAGAGGCAGGCAGATTTCTGTGAGATCAAAGTCAGCCTATTCTATATAGTGAGCTTCAGGCCAGCTGGGGCTACAGGGAGACCCTGTGTCCAAAAACTAAAACGAAAAGAAAAATAGAAAGAAACCTACAATGGGCATATTCATTTGAGCATGTTATCACAAAGCCATGTTTTCACAGCTGGGGAACCACTGCGACTGCTTATTTCCAGACACAAGGCATTTAAAAACAATTTAGGCTCTTGTAGAAATACTATTTTTATAAAAATACTATTTTTATATTTTCTATTATCTTACAAAGATAAGAAATGTCTAACATTGACACTAGCAGTAGGCACTGAGGAAAGTACACAGCAGTGTCAAGACACAGGTCCTGCAATTGTGAAAACTGGTGGGAAAAGGGCACATACACACCAAGACAGAGAAGATGCAAGACAAGGAAAAGCCACTAAAATGAGAGGACAAGCAAGTGGCTCTGAAAAATCAATGCCCTCAAAACGAGGGTGACCCCTGTAAAAGCTAAGAAGCCTGGAGATGTGAAGATGACAAACGTCTAGAACATCGGAGCTACCGAGCAGGGCAGGATTGTTTGGCTAGTTCGTGAGACAGCAAGATGCCAGCTGTTTCCATGAAGCAGTGGGAACACTGGAAAGAAGGTAAAGGTTAAGTAAGGTCAGAGAAGCAGGGTGAAGACAGGACACTGAGGGGTGTGGAGAGAAGTCAGTTAATAGGCGGACCTGTGCGTCTAGGTTTTCTGAAGAAAGTCTGTTCACGACAACCTCCGCTCCTATCAGAGATCCCAAACATTCACCACGTTCACCAAACAAGTCCATATGCAGTTTGTAAAACCATGAAATCTCAAAATTGTTCTTCCTTTTCAAAATCATGAATTTAAGAATCAATGACAGTGGGGCTGGAAAGATGACACTTCGGTTAAAAGTGCTTGCTGCTCTTGAGGAGGACCAGGGTTCAGCTCCCAGCACCCACACAGAGTGCCTCACAACTGCCTGCAACTTCAGCTCCGGGGGATCTGATGCCCTCTTCTGACCTCCAAGGGCACGCGCACACACACACACACACACACACACACACACACGCACACACATCCAGCTCCGGGGGATCTGATGCCCTCTTCTGACCTCCAAGGGCACGCGCGCACACACACACACACACACACACACACACACACACACACAGAGACACACAAAACATACATACATGGATACACATGTACACATAAAAATAAATCTTTTGTTATTTGGGGGTTTCCATTTTGTTTTGTTTTGTTTTGAGACAGGGTCTCCCTGTAGCCCCAGGTGACCTGGAACTCACTACTAGACTATGTTGACCTCAATTTCACAGGGATCCACCAGGCTACAAAGTGCTGGGATTAAAGGCATGTGTCACCACACCTGGTCCCCAAGAAAACTTTTTTTTTTTTTAAATCAATAACAGTGATTCCCTCAGAACCTGTGGGGCACTGCATTCTGGGTGCCCCACAGAACCCCAGATATGAAGATGCTCAAGTATTTTCCAAAGAAATGGTGTTAGGGCTGGAGGGATGGCTCACTGGTTAAGAGCATTGGTTGCTCTTGCAGAGGACCCAGGTTTGATTTCCAGCACCCACATGGCAGCTAACAACCATCTGTAACTCCAGTTTCAGGAGAATCCAACATCCTCTTCTGACCTCCGTGGGCATTGCATGACATGGGTTCACTTACACACATTCAGGCAATACACTCATACACATAAATAAAAATAATAAGGGCCGGGCGTGGTGGTGCACGACTTTAATCCCAGCACTTGGGAGGCACAGGCAGGTGGATCTTTGTGCATTCAAGGCTAGCCTGGTCTACACAGTGAGTTCAGGCCAGCTGGGGCTACAAGGAGACCTGGTCTCAAAAAGACAAAAAACAAAACAAATAAAAAATATTTTTAAAAAAGAAATGTCACTTTTACACATAATTTATACATTTCCACCTATATATTTTAAACCATCTCTAGATTGCTTATAATATCCAATACAATATAAATGCTAGTTAAATAATTAGTATACTGTATTGTTTAATGAATAATGAAAAAGTCTCTACGTGTTCATTACACATGCAATATTTTTTCCAAGAATTCTGGATCTAAAGATGCAGAACCCATGGATATGGAGAGGAGGGGGCCATCTGTGTGTTCCCCAAAGTTTCTTTACATGCATGTTATCATGATCACCACCACCACAATGGAAGAAAATCTACCACAAACTATTTAAGATGAATAAGCAAACTCCTTATCAAAGAGCTATTATAAACATTTTAGTATGATTTCACAAGCTCTGTGATTCAGTCAGGTGGATCTTCTCAACATTATTTATGCCCATCTTATATATTAATTATATCTTTGCCTTTGACTATGCTGTTCCCATTACTGAGGAAGCGCCCCCTGACCCAACTCCTCTCCTTTATTGTTCCAAGAATCAAACAAAATACGTTTTCCCTCAACACATTTTTTTAATGGTAGAAAAACAATCTCCAAGTTCTAGAAGGAATTATATATAGAAGGAAATTGGTGTAGATGGAGTGTGAATTTCAGGAACTGGATTCGCACACTCACTTTGTAAGTTGCCACCCCCCTTCTTCGCGGGGACATGTTATTTACCCATCTGGTTTATACTCATTTTAGTATTTTTATTTTGAGCCTTGAAAAAGTGTTGTGGTGTGCCAAGTAGGTACTTGTTTTCACAGGTGGAACAATTAAGAATAAAACCCGATATCCACAACGAAATGGAAATTTCAGTGTATCTGCCTTAACAGGCATTTTTCCTCCTTCTTTTAGAAGGAAACATTCATTTAATACATTCATTGAAAATTTAACCAGGTTACTCAATGAAGTAATCAAAATGACTAACTCTGGTACTAAGAACCCACTTTATTCCTTTATCAAAATATATTTACTGTTGCTAGAGAGATGGCTCAGCAGTTAAGAGTGCTCACTGCTCTCCTAGAAGACCAGAGTTTGGTTCCCAGCACTCATGTCAGGCAGCTCACAACTACGTGCAACTCCAGCTCCAGAGGATCAGATGCCCTCTTCTGGCCTCTACGGGCACCCACACACATATGCACATACATAAAGATAGACAGGCACACGTACACATAAATAAAAAATAAAACTTTTGTTTTAAAAAGATATACTGGGGATGGATAAAAATCCTCTTAGTCAGTGGGTACCCACACAGACAGACAGACAGACAGACAGAGAGACAGACAGACACACACACACACACAAATAAATAATAAAATGAATCTTTGGGGAAATAAAATCTACTTAGTTGTACCTTACAAGACACCCAGCACAGCAGGGCTGGGAATGGTGTATACTCCTTTAATCCCAGCATTTTGGAGGCAGAGGCAGGCAGATCTCTGCTATACAGCAAGTTCCAGGCTAGCGAGGGCTACCAAGTAAGACCCTGTCTCAAAAAAACAAGAACACCACTACGCAGCATCCAACCACTTCCTACCACCTCCTTTGCCACCATCTTGTTCCAAGGCACTGCCACCTCTCACATGGATCATGAACACAGCTTCTTGTTCTTTTTGGTCACTTTTCGCCCCTTCACTTTTCCAGGCCATTCTCAACACTGCATTCAACATGATCTTGTTCAAAATAATTGATGTATATTTTTGTTCAAAAGTCTCCAGTGTCTTTGTACTTTACATGGAACAAAAGGCTTTTTATAATCTGGCCCTCAATTCTTGTTACTCTTTGGATGTCATCTTCTGCATCTATTCCATTATTTAGTCTATTTTCATCACTCTGGTTCACTTTGCTAATGGATATCTGGCCTCTTCCCAGGAGGTTTTGCCTGAAAATTCTTTTTAAAATCCAATCCCTATAGAGACTCAGCAGACCACCTGAGAGTGCCTGGATCTGGCCTCTGAGTGGTGGTGAGCTTCCCCAAATTGTGCCATACCCAATCCTCTAATTGGGATTATGTGAGGCCCCTCCCATGGCCCCAGGGGTAGACCTCTCTGCCCTACAGTAGGGTAGGGGCTGAGATCTTAGCAGAGCCTGAGAGTACCTAGATCTGGCCTCTATGTGCTGGTGAGTTTCCCCAAATCACCTAGTGCCTAACCCCCTAATTGGGATTATGTGTGGGCCCTCCTACTTCACCA